TGCATTGTTCAACGCCCAGAACCACGTTTGGCCTCAACGATGTGGTTGGCCTTGAGATGGTACTTGACTGATGATTTGCCTTGTATCTCGAATCGGGTTTTGTCCTGTGCATCCATGTGCAGAGTCGCTATCCGCATATTGATCGCCCCTCGACAAGCAGAGCCGGCATCATCTACGAATATTTTGTATAAGTATCGTGGAATGGACGGGTTTGTCTGGAGTTGACTACCAAGAACATACCTTGGTGCTTGTAATAACTCATCACGCCATCCTCCAATACAAACCATCTCAGCTTATAACCGCTGGTGTAGTTTGTCCATTTCTTTAGATACCCTTTCATCTCTCGGGCATCCTTTCCTACCAGGGCTGTCTCCCCAGATCCCGGTCGCCCTCCGCTGCCTTGTCCCGCAGAGCTTCCTAAAATGGCTTTTTCCTGAATACCTCGCTGGGCTATGACGGCGGCTGGGGACTTTTTAACGATAGAACGGGTTCGATCATCCTTAGTGACGTCTTGGGGAAGTTTCCCTTTTCTATCGCGCCGGAATGGATCAGCTCCATGCATTAAGAGAATTTGTACTAACTTCGTATCCTTCCTTCTGGCAGCCTCGTGAAGTAAAGTCCCACCAGTAATCACAGTTGTTCGATCAGTGACCAAATCCAAGCTGTTAGTATCCAGCAAACCCTCAACCCTCGGTTCGACCAACAGACGTTCTAGTTTTTCGTAGTCGCCCTGGCCTATCAGGGACTTGATCTCTTTTGTCTTGCTGTCCAGAAATAGAGATCGCGACAGTTGGAGCAGCTGAAAAATTTCTGGTGTTCGCGCAAGGTCTAGTGGGATCTGGCCGTTATAGTTGGCGATGGAATCGTTAATATCCGGGCGCTCTAGAAGTTCGCGGACGATGGGGACACGGCCCAGCTGAGCAGCCAGATGTAGTGGAGTGTTGCCATCTCGGTCACGCGCATTAATATCTAGGTCAGCACTACTAGATAAGACATACTCGACAACCTGCGGTTCAGCACACTGTATCGCAAGGTGGAGGATGCCGGTGCCCAGAGGGGTTCCTTGCGCTTTGTACTCCGCACACTCCTTGATTGCTTTGAAGATGGCCGTCGTATCTCCGCTTCGTAGGATTTCGAAGAGACGAAAAGTTCGCACTGATTGTTCGATAGACATGGCTGATCTGGCCAACTCATCTCCTTTGTCGCTGGGCCTCGCGGGAAGATCAGCACTTTGATCAGGACCGTCGGTGGAACCAGTTTGCCAGGTATACAACTCGCCACAAGATCCGTGGTTGGCGCTCTGAGCGCTTGTGCTGCTGCTTAAATGGGCACCATCGGGCCCCACAGGTGTGACCTGTAGATTAGTCATGGAAGGCGAGTGAGAGCGGGAAAGGCGAAACGCTTTGTTGGTTGGCGAGACGGAGCTAGCCTTGGGATCCGTGGTTGTAACGCCATTCTGGTCAGGGGATTCTGCGAGAGCTTCGGTCTCTTGCTGGGGATTGTCGCCCCTGGAGGGTCTGGAGGATTTATCGCGATGCAGCAGGGCAAGTGCGCGGGCACTCTTAGAGCGTTTGTGGCTAGAGGAAATAAGTAGTCAGTAATCGTAGGTGATCCCTGCGACTAAGAAGCATAACGGACAAAGGAACAGCTCCATCAGTTTCAAACCACCAATTAACCTACTGCGTAGGCATCAACCAAGCGAGGGAAAGGGGGTGAGGGTAGTATTCGGGTGACAAAGAGAACTGACAATCAAGCAGTATCGTCAAAAACAGGAAATTGTTGATATGCAAATGTAACTGCTTACCTTGCCATATCCCCCATTATCCCGAGGCGGTGCTGAATAGAAAGAAAATGCCACCCGATTCTTCTCGGTTTCTTGAGAAAGCACCTTTCTTCAGGGCGTGGGTTGTCCGTACAGGATGGAATCAGAGGCACTATTGAAATTGGCTGACTACTATGCCAACTGGAGGAATGGTGAAGAGAAGAAGCAGGAGAAACGACAAAGAGACCCTGAGATCAGAAGCAGAAGCGGGAAACTGGGACAGACACAGCCGATCATCTTTGTGGCGCCGATTCTTGGTGGTGGTGAATGGAGGTTATCGCTGCCCTAAATAAACCATCTGCGCCCAAAGCCAGTTGGATACTCTGCTCATAGTTTTTATTTCCCCCCTTAAAAGAACTAAATAGTTCTCAACATTAACTTTGCCACAATGGCGCAGTAAAACAACATGTGCGAAGCCCGTTGCGAGTTGACGCGGCTCCGAATATGAACGGATCTGAATTTTTGATCCTTCTGTTCTGCTTTCTCGCCATTGGCACATGGAGAGGACATCCTGTGCAGGGATTCCCAGCTCTGTCTTACGCTTCGCACACCAGTCTGTCTGTGTGTCTCCTAATTCAACAAGCCCAGAGAAATCCGCCTCTGAATGACGTGGATTCAATAATCTAGAGACCAATAATGGGACCTGTTACTGTTAAATGTGTGGAAAATACTATTGAATCCGCAGCAGAGTTAAACCGGTAGATTCTGGCCCAAATTGAGTTGTCTCTACGGAGTAGGCAAATTCTGCCCTTAGACCTCTTACCAATGCCACTGGGGACAAAGCTTCTTCATCCGTGTCAATGGTCGGAGTTTATTCAGGCGGCTTCCTGTGCAATGATGTCTATTCAAGTTTAAATTCACATGATAATATACAACGT